ATGAATTAATTAAGTACAAGAAATACCTACTAACATAAATTCGATAATAAGGGATAATAAGTAATGGAAGTTAATTATCCTTTTGATTTTAATATAAATGCTAATAATTATAAAATGATTAAAGAAAATAAAGTTTGTCCAAATGATTCTTTATTATATACATTTACATTTTAAGAAAAACAAATAAATGCATACTTAACTGAAAACGTAATAGAGATTAAAATTAATAAAGAAAAAAAAAGCATTTAAGAAATATTTTAATGTAATGATGAAACTTGTTAATAATAAAAATGTCCTGAAAAATGTTCAAAATGTATTCCTTTTTCTAAATAATGTAAGTTATGCGAAAATAACTATTATTTAGATATATAAGGCAAATAATGTCTCGATTAAAAATGCTAATAAAATGTTTCTAAAGCCGATTTGTTGTTCTGTATTAGTAGTTAAGATACTAATATTAGTAAAATAAAATTAAAATAACGAGTTTCTGCTTCATATTCCTGATAATGTAAATGAAAATCATAAAATTCCTTTTGTTCTTTTAATTAATGATTTAAATAACTCATAATAAGATATATTTAATATTTAAGCTAATAATAATCTTTTGCGAGAAAATATTATTTTAAGTGTACCTTTTAATACTAATAGTAGTTAAATTTTTTAATTTATAAAAGAAAATATATAAAATAAATATCAAAGTTACATTTAATATTATGCTTTAGCAGGAATTAATGTTGGAGGTATACTATCTAGTTAATTAATGATGAATTCTAAAGATAATTCAATTTAATTTTCTTTTTCTTTTGCAATTTCAGCATATGGTTAATTATTAATTGTTAAATAGTTTAATTAAGAATAATAAGCTAATAATAACTTTTTAATGGTATAAAATTATTAAAATTATACTAACTTTATATTAAATAATTATATAATAGATAAGAAAATTTTGTGATAGTAGTAAGTTTATAATAGAAAGTATAAAAAATGTAAAAGAAAATTAACAAAACTTATTAGGTAGCTTTTCAGATAAATATTACGAATTATCAAAACAATATTATTTTGTCAAATAATGAAAAAAAATATTCATTTTAAGAATAATTATATATTTAAAATTAAAAAAAATATAAATCTTAAAAAGTCAAAGAAATTTAAACAAAAATATATAAATAAAAAAAATTAAACAAATAATGTAGATACATTTTTTTATATTGTTTATTTTCATAATATAGAGTTAAAGTTTAACAAACTTATAATTAAGATATTGTATAGATGAAATATTTATAGAAATTTCAGGAATTTGTTATGATTTTCTAGTTTAATGTTTTACTAATAGAGAATGCGGAAATGAATTCACATATCTTTTTGATTAATGTGAAATTCCTTTTGATAAAAATGAGTACAATTATGAATGCTTTTCGAAAATATATTCACAAATTTAAATTTAAGATAATAGAAGTTTACTTAATTGCATATCTGAATAATGTGGTTTATTTGGGAAAAATGCCTTATTGGATTTTTAATAAATTGATGAAAAATTTGAAAATGAATAAAAAGAAAAAATAAATAAATAAGATAAAGAAATTGCGAATTGTATTTAAATTGCACTTTCCGATCCCAGAAAATGTGATAACATATCACGAAATTGTGATGATAATTGTATTAAAGATTTAGATTTAATAAAAGAATGTGATAATTAGTAAAATTGTAATTATGATTTTTAAAAAGGAATATAAAAATTAACTAATTAAGTTGCTATTAAAGTCGCATAATGCATATATAATGAGTGTTTTTAATTAGAAAAAAAAAACAGTCATATTTAAGATTTGTGAAAACAAAAATAAAATTTTTAATGATAATAAAGTAAATTAAAAATTATTACAGAAAAAATAAAATATAAAGAAAAGTTTAATATATACTAAAATTTTACAATTTATTTTAAGAAACAAATAAATTAATATTAATTTAAGATATAAGAAAATTTGCATAACTATTTTTAAAAATTATATATTTTACAAAATATAATAATTATATTTAATAATATAATAAAATAATTTATTCTATTAAATAAAAAAAAATATTATAACAAAAAGTGATTATTAAAAGAAAGATTTAAAAAAGAATAAAGAAATAATAATAAATTAAAAATATATATATAAAGTTAAACTTATAAAAAATTAAAATAATTTAAAATATAATATAAAATAAATTATATTAATAAAAATTAAATTAAATCAAAGTATAGTTAATATAAAGTTTAATTTTAAGAGAATAAACAAACAAGCAATATATTTATTAAAGATTAAATTTAATTTTAATAATTTATAGTATTTTTAAATTTGATATCTGCTTCTCTACTTTTGTATTAAATACGATATAAATACTAAAACTACTTGAAATAATATAATCATAATTTTGTTTAATAATAATATAAATTAATAAAAATATAATAATGCTTATATAAAGTTTAATAAAATTATATTAAATTGTGAATTCTAAAAATATTTAACAATAAATATAGAACATCATCTTTATTATTTATATATATATTTATTTAATTAATATTATATTATATTAAAAGTTTATAATTTATTATGATAATTTAACAATTTAAACAGTTTTAGTTTTAATATTTTAATTAAGATAAAAATTAGTAATATTTAATTAAATATGATGTTTCTTTAATTTTTATTTTCTCTATTTTAAATTCTTGAAAACAATTTTTTAAGTATTTCTTATAAACATAACATAAAAAATAAATATAATAGAATAATAAAAGTATTCTATAATGATATAAAATAAGTATTTTGACAGTTTATTTTGAGAAATTTAAAATAGATTTTAAGGGAAAGTAAATTTATAAAGTAATAAAATAATTTATTATTTAAATATACAAAAACGGTTTTAATAAGCAATTTAAAGAAGATTAAATTGAAAAAAAATATTGCTTTCAAATCACAACCAAGTATAGCTAATAAATAAAATATAAAGAAAAAATTAAATAATAAAAAATAAATATATATATATGAAATAAATCTTCAATTATAATTTTAATAATAATACGAATAATAAATACTATTTTATAAAATACATAAATACAGTTAATTAGATTTATTTCGCTCACTAATAAAGCAATATAACTAATCTTTAATTGGGTGGTTTTGTGATTAAAACATTAAAAGATATAACTACTTATTAATCTATTTAAATTTTAATTAATTAAAAATAAGCTTATTAAATTCATAATGTTTAATTTTTAACTTAAACTCAAACGCAAGAATTTATATTAATTATTAAATTTCTAGGAAATAAATAAATAAGAATATTGCTTAAATAAATTAGCATAATAAATAGAATTTAATTTTAGTAGTAGAAAAATAATATTTAACTATAAAAATTTATCTTTGTGATAATGATTAGTAATAATGCATAATTATAGTATTAATAAAATTAGTTTTAATGATAAAATATGAAAATCTAAAACAATCCTTAAAACACAGTTATATATGACTTTAATATAATAAAATATAAATATTAACAAATTTTATAATACACCTAATATATCTAATGCTAATATACTTATATATATTCTTAAATAAAAATATTATAAATTAAGGTTTATTTCATATGGTTTTAATGCTGAAAAATTAATAAATGAAATTTAAACTTTTTTTTAAATTTAGATAGATTTTAAAAAAAAATATAATTTTAAATATAAATATTAATATGTTTTTAAAGTTTATATAAAAAGGGAACATATGATATTACTAAAATTTTTGATCTTAAATTAAATTATTTACTTTGAAAAAATTGACAAAAGAGGATTAATGAAAACTAATTTTTCTAATTAATAAATTAAATTAGTAAAAAAATAAAAAAGTTGAATTAATTTAAATAGAATATGAACACAATTAAGTTAAATATATACATTATGATGCTTTCACAATCAAACACATATTGCACACTGACTACAGCATTACCAAATATCTCTTAAGCTTCTCAGAGCTCAATATGAAATTATATGTTTATCTTAAAATTTAATTAAAATTATTAAAATGCCCCAAATTAATAATAGATGTATAATTAGCATTTTTAAAAAATGTTAGTATTCTATTCAAATTATTTATAACTAATTATTTAATGTCTTGGAATTTATACTAATTCTTAAAATTTCAAATAAGTTAGTATAAAAGAACATTATATAGATAAGAGGGTTTAGAAATATATATATATATATATATAATAATAAATTGGCTTTTTTTTATGGATTTAAATATACATTTTATGAATGGATTATAAGCTAAATAATAAATAATATATTTTAAAAATTATAATTATATAGAACCCTGAGTTTTTGAAAAATGCTTAGGCTTTTTATAATTCTTAAAAATAAATTAATTAGACTATAAAAATTAAGCTAATAATTACATAAAAAAGGCAATTAATTTAAAAAAAAAAAAAAATTATAATTATTTATGAAAAATAATAAGTTTAAATTAAGTATAATTAGTTTATTTGATTATAATATATTATTTTATCTTTTTTACAACTGATTTGTAAAATATCTTTTAAATGTATATAAAATAAAATAATTTTTTTTTTTATAAAAAATTACAGTAATAAAAATTAAGATAATTATAATTTTTAATGAAAATATAAAAATATTAAATAAAAAGTGTATTAGAAAGGATAATATTAAAGTTTTTTATTTTGAAATTAAAGTTAAAAAAAATAAAGAAAAAAATTAAATTAATTTTAGTAAGCTTATATCTAATTTAAAAATATTATAATACATAAAAAATATTAAATTATGAATAAATATAATATAATAAGATTTAAACTAAAAAAATTTTATTTTTTTAAAAATAAAATTTTTATTTTAGAATAAAAAGTAAATTGTAAAAACAAATATTTTAAATAAATAAAAAAATTAAAGTCATAAATTAATAAATAAATTATTATCATGTGTAATAATAATAATAATAATAATAATAATAATTAATATTATGGAAAATTAAAATAGACTTCAGAGAAGATTATCAAGAAGAATTTCTTCATTTAATAGAAATGATTCTTTCTAATAACTTTATAGACCTGAATTTGGATCATAAAACCAACTTAATTAAAACGAAAAAATGTGGAATCTTATGAACTAATATATAGCATCAGATAAAAACACTATTCAATAATAAATAGTAAATCATGTTGAATATACATTAGCTAAAACAAGATTTGACTTTTCTACTTTTCATGCATATCAAGCTGTTGCTCATTCTGTGAGAGGTAAATATGAATTACATGTTAAATTTATTTTAAGATTCTTAATTTTTATATAAAAAATAATATAGATAGATTAATTGAAGCATTTAATGATACATGTTAATATTTCACAAATAACGATGTTAAACGTGTATATTATCTTTCAATTGAATTTTTAATTGGTCGTTATCTTCAAAACGCTTTAGTAAATCTTGATTTAGAAGAAAATTACAGAGAAGCCCTCCTCGAATTAGGATATAATTTAGAATAAGTTTACGAAGAAGAGGTTGATCCTGCTTTAGGAAATGGTGGATTAGGTCGTTTGGCTGCTTGTTTCTTAGACTCTATGGCTACTTTAAACCTACCTGCTTGGGGTTATGGTATTAGATATAGCTATGGTATTTTCAGATAGGTTATCAGTAAAGAAGGCTGTTAGGTTGAGGTTCCTGATTATTGGCTCGATAATGGAAACCCTTGGGAAATCGAAAGATTAGATGTTAGCTATCCTGTTAAGTTTTATGGGCATGTTAGAAAGGTACATGAAAATGGAAAAGAAAAAAATTATTGGGAATCGAGTGTGGTAATTATTTGTATACTTTTATTTTATTTAAAAATATAAAATAAAGACAATACTAGCTAGAGCTTATGATAACCCTATTCCAGGTTATAATACTTTTAATACTATTAATTTACGTTTATTTAGAAGTTTACCTGCAAATGAATTTGATTTCAGTTCTTTTAATTAAGGAGATTACTTTAAAGCTTTAGAAGAAAGAGAAAGAGCCGAATGTATAACTTCTGTTTTATATCCAAATGATTCTACCTATGGTGGTAAAGAACTTCGTTTAAAATAATAATATTTATTGGTCTGTGCCACAATTTAAGATATAATTAGAAGATTCAAAAAATAAAAAAGAGATTGGAAAGAATGGCCTGAAAAAGTAGCTTGCTAATTAAATGATACACATCCTTCTTTGGCTATAGTTGAGCTTTTGAGGGTCCTTATTGATATTGAAAATTTACCTATTGAATTCGCTTGGGAATTGGTTTATAAGAGCTTTTCTTATACTAATCATACAATTTTGCCTGAAGCTTTAGAAAAATGGGGAATAGATTTATTAGGAAATTTATTGCCTAGGCATTTATAAATTATTTATATTATTAATTAGATTTTCTTAGAAAAAGTTATTAAAAAATTCCCTAATGATAGTGCTAAATTATCTGCTTTATCGATTGTTGAAGAAAGTAATCCTAAAAGAATTAGAATGGCTAATTTAGTAAAAATCTTTATATTTTAAAAATTTATTTTTTATTTTTTAAAAAAGAGTATTATAGGATCACACGCAGTTAATGGTGTAGCTGAAATTCATTCAATGCTTTTAAAAACAAGGCTTTTTTCGACTTTTTATGAATTAAGACCTGCTAAATTCTAAAACAAAACCAATGGTGTAACTCCTAGAAGATGGATCAAATGTTGTAACCCATAATTAGCTAAATTATACACTGAAAGATTAGGAGATGATAGTTGGGTGACTGATTTGACTTTGGTTTAAGAATTAGAAAAATATGCCGCTGATCAAGATTTCTAACAAGAATGGTAATAAATCAAATTAAATAACAAACAAAAATTAGTAAATTGGGTTAAATAAAATTGTGATATAGACATTAATATTAATTCGATATTCGATATTTAAGTAATTTAAAATAAAATAAAACAAAACAAAACATAAAAAAGGTTAAAAGAATTCATGAATATAAAAGATAATTTATGAATATTTTATATGTTATTCATCGTTATCTTGAAATTAAAAAAACTCCTGCTAATGAACGTGCTCAAAAATTCTACCCTCGTACTGTTATGTTTGGAGGTAAAGCTGCTCCTGGATATATTAATGCAAAGAGAATAATTAAATTAGTTAATTAAGTGGCATAAAAAGTAAAAAAAAAAAAAATTATAAAATATATTTTTAAAAATAAGGTTAATAATGATGCAGATGTAAACGAATATTTGAAATTAGTTTATTTACCAAATTATAATGTATCTAATGCCTAAATTATAATTCCTGCTAGTGAATTAAGTTAACATATATCAACTGCTGGTTTAGAAGCTTCAGGAACTTCAAACATGAAATTTGTTATGAATGGTTGCATAATTATAGGTACTATGGATGGTGCTAATGTCGAAATTGCCGAAGAAGTCTAGAAAGAAAATATGTTCATTTTTGGAGCATTAGTGGACAAAGTTGATGGTTTACTACATCATATGTAAAATACTAATCCAACAAATTATTTCCCTCATGAATTATTAGAAGTCTTTAAAGTTATTGATGAAGGTATATATATTTAAAACAATAACATTATTATTATTTATTTTTAGGAATGTTTGGAGCTTAAGATGAATTAAGTTAACTAATCGATACTATAAGAAACAAAAACGATTGGTATTTAATTGGGCATGATTTCTCTTCCTATAAAGAAGTCTAAAAACAAGTTGATTAAGTCTACAAAAATAAATTTGAATGGACTAAAAGATCTATTTATAATGCTGTTCGATCTCATAAGTTCTCTTCTGATAGGACTATTGAATAGTATGCTGAAGAAATATGGTATTTATATTTTTATTAAAGTTTAAATTAATATATATTTTTCTAAAAAGGAATGTCAAACAATTTGAAATACCTAATCCTTCAAATAATGCATAGGAAAGGGTCAAAAGTTATAGTTTTAAATAAAGACCTCAGTAATTATTTATTAATTTATAATTATTTATTTTAAATTAAAGGTAAACATTAATTCAAGAAAGAATTTGAAGGAATAAATTTATTCAAAAATAAATTTTATTAAAATTATTTTATAAAACAACTATAATATTTATGCTGATTAGATAATAATTAATAAATAATAAATTTCTATTTCGTTTTATTTTTTAAAATATAATATATAGAAATTTTATATAATATTTTATCTTAATATTAATTCTTTAGTATTTTTAAACACAATTTTATAAGAAAATTATTTTTAAAATAATTTTAATAATTTATTTTTATAAAATAGACATATATTTTTAAAATTTATTTTATTTATGTTTTCTTACAGTTAAAATTATAGTCTATATGAATAAAAAAAAATTATTTAAATATTCTTATTTATACTATAAAATTTAATTATATAAATATATTATTCTTTTGATTTATATTATAAATCACTAATTTATATAATAAATCACTAATTATATAATAAATAATAATCAAAAAGGAGGATAACCTTAATAATTTGGTTATCCTTAAGTATTCCATTATTAAGGTGGATATTATTATTATTATCCGTAGACATAGGGTTATTAGGGTTATTATGGAGGATATTATTAAGGTGGATATCCAGCTTAAGGTACTTGTTAATATTGTTGAGGATATCCTTATTAAGGTCTTAATCCAGGAGGATATTAAGGAGGAAATTGCTGTTAAGGAGGAAAATATCCTTATTATGGTTATTAAAGAGGATAACCTTATTGTGGTGGATAGTAAGGCTATTAAGGTGGATATCCTGTTTAAGGAGGATACATCATTTATGGCTAGGGATAGTTTGTTTAATTTCCATACTATGCTTCTGGTGTAAATTTAATATCTATTAAAATCTATCCCGCATTTTTTCCTTTATAAGTTAAATTAATCCATTCTTTTATTTTTTTATTAAAACTATTTTGTAAATATATTATTCAAAAATACCTGTTCCTTAACGTATTTAAATAACTTTTGATACAGCAATTGATCCTTGTCCTATCATATCATCATTAGTTGCATTATCTTTATCCCAAATTTCGACTTATTTTTAATTTTATTTATTTTTATTTTTATTTTTTTAATTTACTATCAATTAAAGATTCGTTTGTTATTCTAAAGCAGGTTCCTTGTGACCAGCTTGGATTTTTTCCTTGACCTTAAGCTACATTAGATTTCCACTTGTTTCCACCTACTTTAATTACAACATACGGATCCTTTAAATATTTTTATCATTTAATTTTTATATAAATACAATTTTGCTTTTATAATTTTAATATATACCATTTTATCGAAAAAGTCTGTATCTCTAGTTAGTTTTGCGGTAAGTGGTTTGAGTTCTAAACTTCCTTGCATTTTATTAATGATTTTTTTTTTATATATAAATAATTTTTATTATTTATTTTTAATAATTTATTAAATTTTCTTAAAAAATAAATAAGAATGAATCAATAAAATTAATTTATATTATAAATTCTTATAAAAGAAAAAATAATTATTTTAGCATACTTAAAAATTTAAAAATAATCATTATTTTTATTAAAATAAATTTTCATAAATTATTTTTTGATTTATATTTAATAATATATATAAAAAAAAATATTTAAATTTACATTTTAAAATGATTAATTAATTTTTGTATAATTTTTAAATAAGTAAAAATAAGCTAATAAATATTTTCAAAAAATGAAAAGCACAAAAAATAAAATAAATAATTAATTAATTAAAAAAAATGATTTGGTCATATAAAAAAAATAATAGTGATTAAAAATTGATGATATATTAATATAAATATATAAAACTTGTTATAGTTTAAAATTAAATTGTTTGAATACAATTACGTAATTGGATTTTTAGAAGCGATATCTTACAGTCCTCAAATTAAAAATACTCTATTATGTAAATTAATTAGTCTATCACTGCTTAGAAAATTTAAGAAAAACATTATTAGGCCAAAATAATTAGCAATTTTTAGACAGCAATAAAAATAATATTATAAAACATAAAAATAATTTTTTTTATTAAAATTAAAAATAAAGTATTTACTAAAGCATAGTTTTTAAAACTATTTTATATACTCTATAATATATATAAGTATTTAATAAATATTTGCCTAAAAAAAAATTTTTTTTTTAAAATAATCTATGATTTATATAATTAATAATTTTTTTGTTTAATTATTAAAAGTTAGATAATAATAAAAAAAAAAAACATAGTTTTTATTACATTATTAGTTGTTATTAATTTAATTTTTATTGATAATAATTTTTTTATGTTTTATATAATATTCTTTATATTGTTTTAAAAAAATTAAAGAAAAAAATAAAATAGATTATAATTTTATTTATAAAAATATTATAAAAATAGATAATCGATAGGGTAAGGGGTATAAGTTGGGGGTTTGAGTTGGGGTTGGGGTTGGGGTTGGGGTTGGGGTTGGGGTTGGGGTTGGGGTTGGGGTTGGGGTTGGGGTTGGGGTTGGGGT